CACTTGCGATAAAGAGTGTAAAACATTTTTTCTTGCTTAAAATTACTATAAAAGGAAAATTTTTAACAAAACGGACGCGATCAGGAGAGAGTTTTTTAAAAAAACCTTACAAAATTTATTAATGGCAATAAAGGATAATACTATAGAAAGAAAGCAAGAAAAGTTTGTTAGATATAAAAAAGTAATAGATTTTGCACTAAGCATATATAAACAAGAGATAGATAACGACAGGTTTATAAATACCTTTAATAACTTGATGAAATCAATGTTAAAAGAAATTAATGTATGCCAAGAAGTACTACAAGCTCATAACCAACAGAAAACCTGGAGATCAGATGGAAAGCTCACATTTTGATTACACTAAATAGTATATTGCCTTATAAATATTTTTTAATTTCCTTTACTTGAATAAAATAAAGTTGAAAACTCTCAAAACTTTATATACTTCTTTAATTTTTATCTAATAAAGTACATGTATATGATAATTCTTCTTTCGATCTTACATTTTGATTGGCCACAATAAGGATCTACCATATCAGGTCAGGTCGGAAGTCACGTGACCAGTAACTTTGTTTTTGCCATGGCTAGGGTACTACCTCGGATACTAGAAATAGAAGTAGAAGGGGTGGAGGCGGTCTCCTGGATATCAATATCATTCCCGTATAAAGTTGCCATATTTATTATTCTGTGATAATGCGATCGCAGTAGTTCACATTACTTTATTACATAGTGTGGATGCCATTGCTTTACAATATTACATATAAAAAGAGTGCCAAACTTCGAAACTGTGACAGCCAGTCACGGTCGAGTTACATTATAGTCACGTGATCACCGCATTTTACTCAGAATTAAGTATTCTTCTGAACTTATATTTGAAATTGATGGCACAGTAAACGTTTTTATTTATTGGATATACAGTATATCATCCTTTGAACTTTATTCCCACCGATACGAAAAAAAAGATCATAAACTTTTCTGACTCTTTATATTTTCTTTCGGAGTGCATTTAAAAAAAATTTTGGACAGATGATCTACGTTTTTTTATTATATTAATCATCATTATTAATATTAGAGTAAAATTTTAATTTGGATTGAGCCTATAAATATTATTCTGACCAACTTTTTCTTTTCTTTATTTCCCAAACCCTTACATCCGGATGATTTGATTCCACCCAATTCTTTGCCTTTCTCGAATTTTTTTTGTTATCGAAGTACAAGTATATAGTCGGTCCTTTCCTGAACCACCATCCAAATATCTCTAATGAATCAAAACATTCCATTAATTTATCATCATTCCATTTTGCAAGCGTTTCACTATCAGTTATTTCAAGGGTATAATTTTTTCCTACAGGGTCCTGTCCGTATGCATATGCGAAATGCCGATAAAGACTATCCAGGGAAAGAAAGGAATTTCTCATGAGGTCACCGGATATCCCTATATAAATGAGGCGTTTATCTAGAGTACTAACATAACAGGCAAAAGAATATTTCATACCTGATGACCAAAACCAGACCTCAATCTTCCAATTATATTTCTGGGCCCGTTTTAATATAGGATAATAATCACCATTGCCGGCAACTAAAAGAATTACACCAGGATTCATCAAATGGGCGATATCCAACATGGAAGCTCCAAGTTCCATATCAACTTTCTTTTCTTTATTTGCGATACGATCGTAAACGACCACATCATAACCTTGATTTCGAATCCAATCCCATAGTGAATCGTTCGGAGGTGGACGGGAGCCAACAATCACCGGATTACTGCCTATTCTCCGTCCTTTTAGTAGTGTTGATAGAAGACGTCCATGATCGATATAGAGCTGGTTAAGTTGGTAAGAATTTCTTTGGTGATCAAAGTTGCCTGCTTGTTCAATGCGACCAACAGTATATTTTCCTTCGATAAACAAGTTGGAATTGTCCACAAAAACATATACAAGTCCGGTGTTTGATTTTGGAGTGTTTGCTATATGGAGAAGAATTTAGTAACGGCTTATATAATTGAAATGCAAACAAAATCTCGAGTACACTTACATTTTTTGAGATCCGTGATGACATTTGCGAGTACTGTTACTGGTCCTCCTTTTAAACCATAACTGCGAAAATCCTCTTTGGTTTGTTCAAGGAAGGCCAGACCAGTTATTTCCTCTTTACGCAATATTTCAAAATGTGACTCCGTGAGTTTTAAATCCTTACTTCGCAAATATTCGATTAGCTCCTCGGTTCCATATTTTTTAACTACATTTACCATCTCGTGAACGGGCTCTTCGTCAGAGGAAACGCTTGAGAGATGATTCTGAAGACATCTCTTAAAATCTATTACTGTGCCTAGATTTATAATCAAAGAACTACGGAATCTAAAAGGCGACTTAGGTTTAATAAGTTAGCATGCGGAATCTATCGTATAAACTAAAGTACTGCGGAGTATATGTTGTGAAACTATGCAATGTACTGTATGTCGAAATTTAACGTGACAAAACAATTATATCGGAAAATTTTATCTCTCTTCCTGACTACCTATCACAAAATGGATTTCTTTGGTATATAAACACTTCGGCGTGATCTCTTACAATATTTTTAAATATATTATTATTACATTGATTCATTGGCTGTATTTGCTATTTTTTGGTCTATTAATAAGCGCAATTTGATCGTCAGTCCACATCGCAAAAAATTTATTCAGTGTGGTAATGCTACTCAACTTGCCAGAGGTAGTCGCATCGTGGTTATTCCTCATACAATTATATATGAAAAAAAGCACATCGTGACTACATCGCACCTTCATCACATCTATACTGCACCTATATTGCATCTATATTACATCTACTTTTGAAAGTGTGTTTATTCATTATAACGAAACTAGAATGGGAAATGAAATTCATGATCGGTGGAAAATACCGAATCAGAGAAATTAGGTTGCACGAAAAATATGTGGAGGTCAATCTTATTTTTTAGTAGAGGTATGTATTTAATTTGATCGAGTTTTTTTATTATAAGTTTTTTTTTTAATTACTCTTCAAGTCATTCACTTAGTATAGCGTCGCTAGTGTCTTAATATGCGTAGATTGAACGGTCCGATTTTGTATAAGTTTCACCAGTATTTAAATCATAATAATATCCTTCATCATCATCGTCAGAAAATCCACAGAACCTGTCATAATCCTTATCATCATCTACGTTGTTGTCATCAGAGAGATCTCCATCCTCACTCTGTGGGTCAGTGTCCCTATCACAAGAATTTTCGTCATCAAAAGGATCCGAATTAAAATATAAAGAACTATCGGGTGCGCTTACCTCACCTATCTCATCAACATCAGAGAAATTAAAGATATGAGTCGTATTATTAGGTGAGACTTCAGTATTTGAGACACTTACCGAGGTATTAGATAAATATTTGTCATCCTCACTTATTATATCTTCCGAATTAGACGTATGAGACAATTTAGTAGTTGATTTAGATGGTTTGGTCACGTGCGTGTGAAGATTCTTCACGCCAATGCCAAGAAAAATTCTCGATCATATATACACATCATCATTATCAATATGTATTGTACATCAGAAAAATTTTTATTAATATATGTAAAAATAAATACATGTGAAGCGGAAAACTATCTATCCACTATTTTTTTGATAATTTTTTCTTGTACACGTCTCTTCTTAGATTCTGGTTCATCATATGCGGTTACTCTATCTTTCAATAATCCTACGACTATACTGATTACCTGTTTTATATCCTCTCTCAGATTTTCCTGATTTCCCTTAAGTGCCTTTTTCGTAAGATTTATCTGATATTCACTATTGCTTGTACAAAAAATACCTTCGGAAGTGAACATGATAAAATGCCAATCCGCACCTGTTGACACAATCCCATATAGATAATCGTAATGCTTGCTCTTGAATGCCTCATCAGCCGTCCGCTTCTTTTTATTCATATGGAACGAACTTTCAAGTTGTTTAATGTTCTGTAGATATCCTATCTTGACGTTTCGTGGTTTTCCCTCGGTAATACACAAAAGATCTTCCATTCCTGTTATTGCGTAATCCACCCGACTGGAGGCTTCTTCACCCGAAATATCTCTCTGCAACTCTATATTGATTTCTTTATTTGTTAGCCTTCTTGTTATTGCGATTGATGCATGAAATAAATTCGCAACGTGTCGCCTCATTAGCCTCTATCATTGATTTTACATTCGTTAATCGTAGTATTATTTCGTTCATGCACTGTTCGAGGGCTTTGTCGTCATCATCGATTTCCTCAAACACTGTACAACAGAAAAAACGTTAACATATAATCTATATGTGTGAAGAATTCTACTTTTGTCAAGAAAAAATAAAGTGCCACATACCTGGATTGAATTGCTTGATACTCGTAATATCCTCACCATTGACTTTATATTTGCGGAGTATATCTTTTAACTCGTCCAGCGTTTTGTACGACGAGAAGTTTCATAGTTTTTGGTCGGTTATCTGATCGATAAAATCTGCAAGCCTTTTTGCTGGGCCAGCTTTTAATCCATAACTGCGAAACTCCTCTTTAGATGTGTTAAGAAAATCCCGACCAGAAATTTCTTCCTGTCGAAAAATCTTGAAATGGGATTCTTTGAGATCTAAATCTTGCCTCTGCAAATAGTCGATAAGTTCTTCCGTCTTGTAATTTTTAATAACGTCCGCCATCGTGCGAGTTGACCTTTCTTCCGTCAAAGTAGATGATGTAGAAGCCGGTGAAGATGGTGAAGAAGCGTGTGAAGACATAGTGGTATTTTTATATAGATGGTAGATATGATCAAAAAAATCTTGTTTATGTATCTCGCTAATAAAAGCTAGGTAATGCGATGCAAGTGAAAAATGAAAAATATTTTATCGCATCTATTGAGTGATTGCTGGTTTATATGCGATAAAAGTTACACGAATTGATCAGGGGATAATGTACACGATGAAACTACTGAAATCACGCTTAACGCATCGTTGTTTTATTATAGGATAAAATCCATGCAAAACATTACGAAACGAAATACATTGCCTGTAATAAGGCAGATACAAATATACATTCTGCTTAGGATTCTACAAGGATGTGGATAACATCTGCGGGAGGACCCTCTTTAAAATAATCGGAAATCAAAGTCTGCGGTTACACAACTCTATATCTTACACCACCAGGGTGGAGTGCACGAATAATAAAAGGGACATTTTTAAATTGAGGTGGTAACTGGTTCCGAATTTCAGTTTCAAGATCATCGTCTCTTGCCCCACTGGGGATTGTAATTGTTTGAATAACTGCATCTCTTGGAAGACCGGCGAATGCGTGAACGGAATTAATAAGGCATTCGAGACTAATAGTAGCCATTATTGCGTTTCCTAAATATAAAATCCATAGTGAGAGGAAATTTCGCTTTCATAGGTATTTACCGTAAACAATCATACCTTTAGCGTAAGTTAGTATAAAGTGTTAAAATTCGTGGGAAGACGTTGTACGAGATATGAAGTATCCTAAGAAATAAAGCTTCCCTGAACCTGCTTATTTATATTTCCCTTCGACCTTGAACTTGCTAGAATGATCTGACATGTTACTGACTACTTTATCAAACAAATCTCCGATTCATAGCAATAGTAGAATCATATAAATACCAGAAACAGAGAAATTTTCAAACCTGCCTCCATAGAAAGTATTGTCATATGTAACTAAATGCTAAGGTATGTAATATGCGGAGTAATGAGTCATAGATGCATGAATGAAATCCCTTTTATCTTAGTGATCGCACGAAGTTGGTTAATCGCAACGATGATCCTGAATTGCGGAGATTTCAAAGCCCCATAACTAACATTTTCTGGTAACGGTGCTGATAAGAAACAACGGTCTATTCACTCTTATTGCCGTTTCAAGTTTCGTTTTCGCACATTCTTACCACAAAACATACATAATATAGAAACGTTTTCTTGACCTATATAAGACGAAAAAATAATGATTATCGTATGTGGTACATTGACGTAATTGCGCATGTTCCACGAATTTCTAATGACGATCCCGATATTGTGTGATTGGTTAATAATTTTCCAGTTATTTTTTTTCTACGAAAGCATACATTATTCATCTTGAGTAAGACATCGGCTCTAGAAATAAAATCCTAACGGCTCGTCGAATAGTGTTGCTTTTGTCTTTTTATCCACATACTAGTTAATACATCTCGAACCTTTTTTTTTCTACCTGAATTGTAATAACTATTATCAACTATGGATTCATCCGATTCTAACAAACGAAAAGAAACCGTCACATTGGAGGTGGCACCAGCAAAGAAGACGAAGTTGTCACGATGTCTCCGTTATAATAAAAAGAAGTGGGAAAAAAAGCTGGCAAAGATATCTCATGAACTGGAAATAGACATGTCATCACTTGTCAATCCACCTATTTCACTTGGTTATACCAGCTCCATTTATATACTTTTTGATCCATTAAAAGTATATTTCTTTTTATTTATAAGGCCATTATTAAATAGTTATTATAGTCAACATTCTTCATATTGCTTTTTGTGTGGCACGTTGTGCCTTTAATAAGGAATTACTGAGATTTTTGATACAAGTTTGCTTTGGCAAATTTTGGGGTGTAACAAACGCATAATCACCATTGGTGACTTAATGTGTCTTAAATCTTGTTAATCTGTTGTTCCACAAAAGTACGCAATACCTTCATTGTAAAATAGACCCTCTTCTGCAATTATTAAATAATTATTTTATATATTGGAATCAAAAAATAGGGATAGTTATCATCTTCTGAGATAATGTTCTGGATCAAACTACTAGTATTCTGAAAAATTAGGATGCGTCCTTCTATGCAATCCCACAATAAAAATTCTATTAGAATATTTTTTTATTCCTGTAAAGTGAAATACCTATTTATAAGCTTGTTTTTTTTTTCTAGCATCAGACTCAATTTGCAACTCATGGGTTGTGTACTTTCGACAAAATCTACTATATCAAAAATGAGTGGTTAAGTATTCCTCTTTGTATCTTAGATCAGATACTATTTAAAAAAGTAAAGATTAAATATAACATAACTACACAAGATCTGTTGATAAAAATACTTATTTGAAAAGTTAGGTCAAACAATGCTTACATACTTAAGATTTCTTCAAATTTTTAAATTTAATAAAGATTGACATTATTAATAAAATCAACTCTGCTGATAAAAAAAGATAGTTATGGATTGATCTTGGCCAATAATTAGAATTTAAGGAACCAATCCGAAGAAAAAAAGTTCATGAGCATTTAAGATTGAAGTAAAAGAAACTTGAACATGCAATAAATGTTCAGAATAATAATATCAAACTATTGGATTTATAAAGTAGAATAGATATACAAAACAAGAAAGTCTGACAAATATTATCAACATGTAAAAATTTCAAATCATTGAGTTGATTGATAAAATTCTATCATATAGTAGAATCTAAAGATCCTAACAATTCTTTTTGATTTTGTATTTGATTCTCAAGTTTATATTAAATTTAATAGGTGGGGTATATCCTACTATCATTTTTAATAGTGTTTTGAATCTCATGCAATTCTGTTCAATTCTATTTGATTCCAATTTTCGGAATCATAATAGAATTTTGGTGTATCATAGATTGAAATAATCAAACTTTAGTTTATCTCAAAAGTATTGACCAGACTGTCATAAAAAAAACAATAGATACTATAAATGAATATTATTTTCATATCTTAAAACATCTTTTGCACCAGAGCAAGGAGTTCTAGGAAAATTTTATCAAACATTTTGACATGTATATATTATATAACCTTCTCTTCTACACAAGCTCCAACACCACTAGTATCCATAATGCTGAGCATCAAAAATATATAGATATTTTGCTTTATAAACTGATATCATTATCGAATTGTGTTAACTGATTTGTTGAAGAGTATTACAGGGATCTATATTAGAAGTTAACAGAATTAAAATAATAACCCTTTGGATTAAGACTTTTTAAAGTCTTCTTGATGATAGCTATTAATTATAATACAATTAGTAACTTTCATTGGGATAAACATGATAAGTCAAATTCTTTCTGTTACTTGATTGCTCTTAATAATTTCAAGGAAGGTGAACTTTGTTTCCTTCAACTTTATATCATAATTCAATTTTGTCTTGAACAAATTATTACTTTTTTCTTATGTCTCCTCCTCCATAAGAATTTTTTAGTAACTTGAGGAATCAGACATAGTATTGTTTATTTCATTCACAGTATCTTTTTCCATTATCTGCATGATTTTTTATCGATATACAAAGATCTAAAGAATAGACTTGACAGAAATGCAAAGGATTGTATTACTTCTGAATCCATCTTTCCTCAAAACTTAAATAATGCTAAAGGTTTGAATTCTCAAAATCCCCTTTCTTTAAACTGAAAAAATGGCAAACCAATATACCAGAAAAAGCTAAGGTGAGAAACTATTGGTAAGTAATTGACCTTATATATCTTTATATAAATCATACAGACTATTAATAGACAATATTCTCTTTAGACTTAATATATGTACAATGGGATTTAAATATTAAAGATCCAATACTTGTCGAATTATTGATTTAGTTGGTTAGGTAAATCAAAAAAAAAGATTGAAAAGAAATATTTGTGCAATTAATTTTTTTTTATTATAATAAAGTTAGTGATAAAGTATATAAAATTCTTAAAAATAGTATCACAAGATTAATATGTAAAAAAAATAATAATTATTACATGTTTTACAAACTTCTATGTTAATTTTTGATTTGTGGATTTAATTCATGTGATATGATTTTTGTTATTTTATTTTTATCTAAATAGACACAAACTGGTTATTTATTATTTGTTTTTTGATAAAAAAAATCCATAACAAGTTAAAAAGAGTCATAAGAGTGATGGGTTTATTATTTCTTATTAGTAGCTTTATCAAAGTTCATATGACACAATGACTTAGCATTTTCCAGATCATCAAAATTATTACTATACAGGAAAGATTATAGTATAAAATATAGTATATCATTTTTTTCTCTTCTCTAATAGGTACTAACAATATTTTTCATTACTAATTAAAAGTAATATACTATTATTTATTGTACTATTATTAATCAAAACTATAAAAACATATTTATTTACTGTGAACTTTGTATAGAAATGTAAAAATGAGCAGTACTAACAAAACCAATATCTTCAAGAGTAATGATAATAATACCTTCCAAAATAGAAATATTTTTTTCAATACCTTCAAAACTGTTGTTCAAATATCATATAATATAAAATCTAGTTAAAGAATATTTAATTCTAATTATTAATATAATACTAGGAGAAATAGATATGATGAGACTTGTTATATACTGTTGGCGGGGAAATAGTATGAGGCATGGTCGCGTAACGCGATCTGGGGCATCGCGTGCCCTGATTATTGATAATCAAAGACCGATAGTCTATAGTAGCACGTAAAATTATGATGTAATTGAGAAAGCTTAATTAGCCATTGTCACATTGATTATTAATTACGATAATTTATGATAGCTTAGAGAAGTTAAATGACACAACGATAGAAAAAGAGACGCGACACTCTAATATAAATAGGGGTGGCTCTTATGTAAGAAGAGGGAGAGAACCACGAATCAGTTAATAAACGAAACCATTCTTTAAATTAAAATCTTCCTAATTAGAACGTGCGATTGTCATTGCTAAACACGGATAACCCCCTAATTAACTTACCTAATCCAGTACTCGTCGCGAAGTGAGAGGGACGACCGGGACCACGAAAGGGAAAAGTGGAGAATTTGTCCAATAAGCGCGACGACGGAACAAGAAGGAAAAGTTGTATTAGTAAAGAGAGTCCGGCCACGCCAAACCACATGCCTCGAGTAGAGAAGGAACCTAAAAAGACTCACCTGACGCCATCGTTACGCGAGTTCTGACCCAAAATTAGCGACAGACTCGCCGAGAGAGGCGTCAACAATACATATGAAGTTAAAAAATATACATATCTAATCTGTGCATTAATTTAGATAATCTGAATTATGAACTTGAAGATGATGACAATTTTCATGCAAGAAATCATCTTTATTATGTTTCTAGAAAATATGCACAATATTATTTAGATAATGATAATCATTCTCATTTAAGTTATAAAGATATATTAAATATTCTAAATAAATAGTTATCTGATTTATAGTGAAGCTGAATTAAAGCCCTTATTTTTTTATTTATATAACCTTCGTTTGGCAATTTTTTATAAATAAAGAGATCCTACTATATATGTGGATTTATATATGTTATTGCTTATTGTGGATATATCATGTATCTATTAATGCTTTAACTGGGATTTTTCTTTTAACTAATC